CCATGCAACCATCACGTTTAGACACAAGAAACAACGGAACCTACATGAAACCTACATCAATTCTCCATAGAACCTGCATGGATACTCCATCAAAGAAGCGCCATACAAGCAGCAGGTGTAGATACAGGGAACATGTTCGAGTTTTTTTTAATGGAAACTACATGGAAACCATCAGATGCTTTGATGCAAATCGATCGCAAATCGATCGTAACTAAATTGATCGCACAAAAACTGTTATAGCATCCGTGCGTTTTGATGTCGTTTTCACTAGGCCATCTGTCTTTGCTGATGTTTCTTTTGGTTTCTGTACTGGAAAAGTCAAATTCTTCCAGAATTTCTATTTATCCTGAGTGTTCGTTGCTTGGCGGTTTTGATGTTGGCAAGGCCAGGGTTTCAAGTGTGGACTTTGTAATGAGTCATTTTGATGTAGGATTTCGACGTTGTTTTGCGATCATCTTGCGATCCTTTGTCGATCGATTTGACATCGGCCTAAAAACGAATAAGAAGGCCATAAAACAACATCAATATGACATCGACAAGAACCTAAGGCCTGTAGAAAACGGCACTTGCCAATTCATATATTCATATGGTTTGGTGATCATAGAATCCAAGATGACATAAGTGAGTTCATTTCTCTTGGTGGTTTCGTCTTTTAATTAACTTAGTTTGCAATATTATATGTTAGGAACCTCCATCAAGTTGACACCGAGACAGACATAAGACTCCATCAAAATGACATCAAACAAAAATTCCCATTTGAAACCTTGCCAAAATCGAAACCACCAAGCAGTGAACACTCAGGATAAATAGAAACTCTGGAAGAAATTGACTTTTCCAGTGCAGAAACAAAAAGGGACATCAACAAAGACAGATGACCTAGTGAAAACGACATCAAAATGCACAGATGCTATGACAGTTTTTGTGCGTTTTTTTACGATCAGTTTATGATCGATTTACGATCGATTTGCGATCAATTTGCATCAAAGCGTCTGATGGTTTCCATGTAGTTTCCATTTAAAAAAACTCGAACATGCTAAATCCTAATGCTAAATCCTAATGCTAAATCCTAATTCTAAATCCTAATCCTAAATCCTAATCCTAAATCCTAATTCTAAATCCTAATTCTAAATCCTAATTCTTCCTAATTCTAAATCCTTATTCTAAATCCTAATTCTAAATCCTAATTCTAAATCCTAATTCTAAATCCTAATTCTAAATCCTAATTCTAAATCCTAAATCCTAATGCTAAATCCTAATTCTAAATCCTAATGCTAAATCCTAATGCTAAATCCTAATTCTAAATCCTAATTCTAAATCCTAATTCTAAATCCTAAATCTAAATCCTAAACCTAAATCCTAAATCTAAATCTTAATCTAAATCTTAGTCTAAATCTAATCTAATCTAATCTAATCTATCTTTCTAAGTATCTGTCTATCTGTTTGTTTGTCTGTCTGTCTATCTATTTACTTATCTAATATATCATTTCCAATATATCTATTTGTTTGTCAGTCTATATATCTATCTATCTATCAATCTATCAATCTATCAATCTATCAACCAATCTCATATATCTACATAGTCTATCTATTTATTTGTTTGTCTATTTGTCTATCAAACTAGTCTAATCTTCTCTGATCTTATCTAATCTAATCTAAGCTAATCTAATCCAACCTCTCTAATCTTTCAAGTCTGTCTATTAATCTATCTAATCTATCCAATCCACCTAGTCTACCTTTTCTATCTGATCTATCTAATATGCCTACTCTATCCAAGTGACCTTACCTATCTATTCTATCTAAATAATCTACATGAAAGCAAAGCAGAGAAAAAAAAACAGTTTCTCTTGAAACAAATTCCATTGCGGTCCTATCCTGTACAGTACTCTGACTGATGCAGGTTTCATGGAGTTTCCATGCAGTTGCCATGCAGGTTTCATGTTGGTTACATGCTGGGTTTGCTGATTTAGCTTACTGGTGTGTAACCTCCATGAGAACTCCCTCGAACCTGCATGGAATCTGCATGGAACCTCCATGGAACCTGCATCAGGCAGAGTGCATGGTAAAACCAACAAGTGTAGATAGAGGCATCACCTCCATAACGCGCATGGAAACTGCATGAAATCTACATCAATTCTCCATGGAACCTGCATGGAACCTCCATGAAAACTGCATCAGTTAGAAGGCGCCATGCAACCATCACGTTTAGACACAAGAAACAACGGAACCTACATGAAACCTCCATGAAACCTACATCAATTCTCCATAGAACCTGCATGGATACTCCATCAAAGAAGCGCCATACAAGCACCAGGTGTAGATACAGGGAACCAGAGACTTTTTTTTTAGTGGACACTACGTGGAAACCATCAGCCGCTTTGACGCAAATTGATCGCAAATCGATCGTAAACTGATCGTAAAAAAACGCACAAAAACTGTCATAGCATCTGTGCATTTTGATGTCGTTTTCACTAGGTCATCTGTCTTTGTTGATGTCCCTTTTTGTTTCTGCACTGGAAAAGTCAATTTCTTCCAGAGTTTCTATTTATCCTGAGTGTTCACTGCTTGGTGGTTTCGATTTTGGCAAGGTTTCAAATGTGAATTTTTGTTTGATGTCATTTTGATGGAGTTTTATGTCTGTCTCGGTGTCAACTTGATGGAGGTTCCTAACATATAATATTGCAAACTAAGTTAATTAAAAGACGAAACCACCAAGAGAAATGAACTCACTTATGTCATCTTGGATTCTATGATCACCAAACCATATGAATATATGAATTGGCAAGTGCCGTTTTCTACAGGCCTTAGGTTCTTGTCGATGTCATATTGATGTTGTTTTATGGCCTTCTTATTCGTTTTTAGGCCGATGTCAAATCGATCGACAAAGGATCGCAAAATGATCGCAAAACAACGTCGAAATCCTACATCAAAATGACTCATTACAAAGTCCACACTTGAAACCCTGGCCTTGCCAACATCAAAACCGCCAAGCAACGAACACTCAGGATAAATAGAAATTCTGGAAGAATTTGACTTTTCCAGTACAGAAACCAAAAGAAACATCAGCAAAGACAGATGGCCTAGTGAAAACGACATCAAAACGCACGGATGCTATAACAGTTTTTGTGCGATCAATTTAGTTACGATCGATTTGCGATCGATTTGCATCAAAGCGTCTGATGGTTTCCATGTAGTTTCCATTAAAAAAACTCGAACATGTTCCCTGTATCTACACCTGATGATTGTATGGCGTCTTCCTTGATGGAGTATCCACGCAGGTTCCATGGAGAATTGATGTAGGTTTCATGGAGGTTTCATGTAGGTAACCGTTGTTTCTTGTGTCTAAACGTGATGGTTGCATGGCGCCTTCTAACTGATGCAGTTTTCATGGAGGTTCCATGCAGGTTCCATGGAGAATTGATGTAGATTTCATGCAGTTTCCATGTGCGTTATGGAGGTGATGCCTCTATCTACACTTGTTGTTTTTTATCATGCACTCTGACTGATGCAGGTTCCATGGAGGTTCCATGCAGATTCCATGCAGGTTCCAGGGAGTTGTCATGGAGGTTACCCACCAGTAAGCTAAATTTGCAAACCCAGCATGTAACCAACATGAAACCTGCATGGAAGCTCCATGGAAAATCCATGAAACCTGCATCAGTCAGAGTACAGGATAGGACCACACGGTTTCAAGAAACTGTCTTTCCCCCATTTCAAAAATAAATAGACAAGTACAGAAAAATGCACTAGAATTCAATAATCAATTAAACAATCACGTGAAATTATTGGACAGTAAAAAAGTGTACATTTTCCGAGATACAAGATGAATATCAATTCAAAAACAAACCTAATCTGGTAGCAATCGTTGTTGTTTTAAATTTGTCTTCTTTATTTTCAACGATTTCATTGTTTGCAGGGTTTGATATTTTTTTCTAAGTTTACAAAACCATCAATTCCCAGACTTCGAAACCACCAACCCAAACCACCACGTAAGCACAAGTTGGTTGGACGTCAAAAACAGGTAAAATTGCGATTTTGAGGTGTCAATCGCAACACTTACACGCGAAATGAGGTTCGATTGCCAAAAACTGAGGTAAAATTGCGATGTCACGGGTCCGGTCTCTGTGTGTGAAAGTGTTTGTGTGTAAAAGTTTCTGTGCGTGAAAGCGTCTGTGTGTAAAAGTGTCTGTGCGTAAAAGGGTCTGTGTGTAAAAGGGTCTGTGTGTAAAAGCCTCTGTGTGTAACATGGTCTGTGTGTAAAAGGGTCTGTATGTAAAAGCGTCTGTGTGTGCGTAAAAGTCTGCGATTGAGACATGCAATGGTTGGATTGAAAATTGATTTCTGAAAGTTTCTGTGTGTAAAAGCCTCTGTGTGTGAAAGTGTTTGTGTGTAAAAGCGTCTGTGTGTAACCATCTGTGTGTAAAAGCGTCTGTGTGTAAAAGCGTCTGTGTGTAAAAGCCTCCGTGTGTAATAAAAGCGTCTGTGTGTAAAGGCCTCTGTGTGTGAAAGTGTTTGTGTGTAAAAGTGTCTGTGCGTAAAAGCGTCTGTGTGTAAAAGCCTCTGTGTGTAAAAGCCTCTGTGTGCAAAAGCGTCTGTGTGTAAAAGCTTCTGTGTGTAAAAGCGTCTGTGGGTAAAAGCCTCTGTGTGTAAAAGCCTCTGTGTGTAAAAGTCTGCAATTGGGTAAACGAGCTGGGTGAAATTGCGAGGGAATTCCCCAAATTGCGATTTCACTATTTAACTGAGGGAATTCCCCAAATTGTGATTTCACGGGTCCGAACGTGATCATTTCTTCAACTATTTTTAACGACTACCATAATCGAGCTGTTTGAAAAACGTTTTTTTCGCTCTCGGGCCAGCCGTTAGTTTCCCACCTCAGTGCCAGAATGTATCAGATATGTCATATGAGATACTCCTAGATCCAGATTGCGCATGAAACGTGATGAAACTATAGGATTCAAAGTCGGTGAAGTTGTGGGCCCCGTGGAATGAGACATTGCCCCTGCAGGATCACAAGAGATGCAAAGAAGTCTCGGTGGTTTGAATTTCCTGACCTTCAGGTGCTGTTTGTGCGGCTGTGAACTTCCCAAAACTAAACCATAGCAGGTGTCGTTGTTCGTTTTTGCACGCCTTGCCTTGTTCAGCATCCGCGGCCTTGCCACATATTACCACATCCTGGAATGGCGTGTTTCGAAGGGCTGCTTTCCTGGGAATCCACAGTAGTTGGTGGTCAATTAGAACCATTGAATTGATTCTTCACCTTTGCCTGGCCTTTAGACTTATTTGTATATAGCCTCACTGATGTTGCTTCTGCATCGTTTTTCCTTTGTGGAATGAGGAAGGCTGAACTGCACTGCCGGGTGCAGCACCGTGTCAGGGTGCTGCAGACCTTCCACAGCTTACGTTGATGCTGGACCCAACTGCCAGCGATTTTCACAATGTGAGGGCCCCAGAACTGGAGCTGCGACATGAGCAGAATTCAGCATACATTTATAAAAAAGAAAAGGCTCCATGTCCAACAAATGTGGTTGACCGGTTGACCAAATTTCTACTTTGTTCACTGGTACCGCGGCCAAGGTTTACAACGTCTCCATTCAGGTCGCGCTGCCAAAAGCTGAAGAGTGAATATGAAGCCGCTCCATTCATGCGTTTTACATGTATATTTAAATAAGCATGTACAATATGATTATGCATGTTATACATCTATATACATATGTATATGTATATACATATGTATATGCATATATATATATATGTACCTGTATATACCCATGCATCGAGTTTGGCAGGCTTGGGTGTGCATGTATCATCTTTAAGTGTTCAATGAATGCTATCATTTTGGCTCAAGTAAACTTGAACCAAAATAGCATTCATTTGCTGTTTCTTTCTCGGTCGTTGTAAGGGGCGACCTTACTTGACCTTGATTGGTTGGTTCAAACTCAACACAAGGGGTGACCTTGTATGCAGCGCAAACTCCCAGGCATTGATATTCCAGCAGCCACTGAGGCGAAGATCCTGCATGCGGCTGCGTTTCTGGAATTCAAGAACCACGTGGAGAGGCTGGCAAGGGAGGGCTTGGGCCCGGCAGCATACACATGCTGGATGCATGGTATCGAGGTGTTGCACTCCCCCTATGTCATCACTACTGGAACGGATTCAGAGATGTTTCCCCCCTTGCCGAAAGTGCCCTGCTGCCTTGATGGATGTCCACGTTGCGCAGCTCATGTGGGTGGGTTCAAGTTCCCGTGGCTTGGCTTGTGGAATAGCCGGGGAGTTGTGCTGCCTGATGATGTGGCGCCTGCGGATGCTTGGGAGTACTACTACCAGCACCAAGAACCCATGGATCTCCTGCTGGTCTCGACATACACGAATTTCAAGGTGGCCGATGACGTGGTGCCCCAAGAGCTCTATGGACTCCAGCTCAGATGTTCAGCGGGTGACGCTGGGCAACTGGGCCTGGGCGAGCTTTTCGAGCAATGGAGGACCTGGCTTCGATGTGTGGGCCCGCACGAGCTCCTGCCAATCTTCCTCGAGCCGCGTCACTTCCCCAGAGCCCCCAGGGGGCGACCCTGGCCGGCATGGGGGAGAGAGGGCGCCAGGGCTCATCGAGCTCTTTGTGGATGGCTGGAAAGCCAAGAGGCCAGAGTCCAGCATCTGGGGACAGCATGCACGGAGTGTGGCGACCCCACCAGGCGCGTGTGTTGGGCCTGCTGCGTTGGCATGTGTAGTGACTGCTATACATGGAGGCAGCCATGCACAGTTTGTGGAGGCCGTAAGAAGATGTTCGCTGAAGGTTGAAGCTATGACAGAGGAGGCACCTCTGGAGTCACCGCAGCATCTTTTTGCTCTCCGCACCTTAGCAATTTTGTTAGGGTGCAGTGCCATGGCATCAGGCGGAAAAGGCTACTACGCAGCTCAGGCGGCAGCCTCATCTTCGTCAGGGGGTGACCCTGCACCAGGATGGAGGGCGGCCGACTCTTTGATGATGATCGCTGCTCAGAGGGCTCGTCAATGGAGGGAGAACGAAGGCCTTCTGGATGACAATGACTTTGCCTATGCCTACACAGACTACGATCAAGTCGTTGGACTCGCTGGCCATCATGTCGCTGATGACTGGTTGCAGACGCGAGCAAGGGTCGAAGAAACCCTCCTTGCCGCTGGAGCCAAAGTCGTGGAGGACCACCCCAAGGGTTCCGTCACTCTGCGCCCAGTGCGCAAGACGATCTATAAGAAGAAGCCCAGAGCCATCAACGTCGACAAAAACCTGAGTGAAGCCGTCCAGAAGAGGGTGAACGGCGTGGTTTCAATGTTTGTTGGCATGGGCGCTTACAAGCCAGCAGGCATCTTGACCGACACCCTCAAAGCTGAATGGAAGCAGACGTGCAGGAGGATCGCTGAAAAGAAGGTGAAGGACGCTGAGAAGGCCACCATTGACAGAGTGGTCAACACCTGGTTGGAGCTGAGGACCTTCTTGGAGAGCCGGGGGCGACCCGCTCCTCCCGGAATGGTCGACCTTGACCAGTTCCTGAACCACACAGCGGCACCAGCACGGGCACTCCAGGCTTTGAAGTGGATGAACAAGAATGCCGACCAAGATCTTGAGCTGGGCAATCTGCAAGTTCCCACAACACCCAGGGCGACTGGGCAGCGTGGGCAGGCTCCTGTGGTCGAGCCACCTTTGGTGCAGGCCTTGGAGGACCGCATCATGGAACTGCATGCGGTAGGCGATGAAAGGTGGTCAGTCCTCCTGGCCCCTTGGGTCATGGCGTTTGGCTGTTTGAGGTATGCGCATATATCTCGATCAGAACCTCGACGCCTTACCGCGGCATTCCTCCATTGCAGGTGCCCCAAAGGCAAACAAAGGCATGCTCGTGAGGGATTCGACTTTGCAGTGCCGGCAACCTTTGCGAATGGGTTCTTTTGGGCCAAGGAGGTGTTGGAGGCCTACAGAACACTGGCACCGGCAAGGCAGAGGCTGGCAGGTCTTTGTTTTTCGGACGAAGGATGCCCTTGGACGATCCTGGAAGTCCAAGAAACGATGCAACAGGAAATGTCTGTGTTCCTCGACAATCCTGAAGACCTGACCACCTACAGTTGGAGAAGGTTGGCACCCACTGTGGCCCAATTGTTGGAATGCAAGCCTGAAGAAATGGCCGCCCTGGGCGACTGGCAAGCCAAGGGCGAGGTGCCAGAGGTGGGTGCGATGGCTTTTCACTATTCGTCGGCCAAATACGCCGCGTCGATCAAGGTGAAGTCACTGATCTGGGGTGCGACAGCAAAGCTGACTAGCAACCTGCTGTGGGAGGCGATCCCGCAGTCAGAGCTAGATGCAGCCCGAGCCCACGGCTTAACAGAGGCAGACCGGTTGCTGAGGCAGGACAGGCAACCAATGTGGGCCTCCTCACACAACTTTCAGGATGTGAAGAAGAGGCTCAAGCTGTCGCAACAATTCGTCGAAGCCGCGCAACAAGCCCGCCAGGAGGCAGAAGCGGCACCGGCCCCCCAAATGCCGGACCACCTTCAAGGAAAAGTTTTGACAGCCACCCTGAAGAACGGCAAGGCCATCTGCCCAGACTACCAGACGGATTCGTGCCCGAACGAAGCAGACTCCTGTCCCTTCGGAGTGCACTTATGTGCCGTCTTACAAAAATCGGGACGGGCATGCGGTGGCAAACACGGCGCTGGTGTGTGCCGCATCAAGCGCGCAGTGCTGGCTGAGACCGCAGTCCCGGCAGCCCCTAAGCCTTCGGCATCCTTGGTGCCGGCAGCCGTTGGAGCGAAGGCTCAGTTCGGCAGAAAGAGGACCGTGGCAAGTGGAGCAACCGATGACGAGGTGGCAGAGGCTATGCGCTCAGCCGTTAAGAGAGCCCGAGGCAAAGCTGCACCGAAGACACCGCCTAAGGCGCCAGCAATTGCAGCCCCAAAGACGCCTCCAAAAGCTATGGCTACCTCCCCCAAGCCAATGGCGACAGCCACAACTCCCAAGCGCATGGCAGCCCCTGGAAAGCCACAGATCAAGGCCATGCCCAAGAAAGGCCGTGGGAAGGCGGCAGGAGATACCTTGGACATGCACCTCGAAAGGTTGGGTGTTGGCTCAGGGACAGCCCAGGCGCCAACATGCATCTGGCAGTCTCGGAAGGGAGGTGGCCTTTACTTGGCGGGACTTCCAATGCGGCAGACCGTGGATAAGTTCCCCAAGACGGCATTGCAGATTTGCTGCTTCCCGCATGGTCCTGAGAGCCGGGGGGGGTGACCCTCCCGGGGGCTCAGCTGATGACCTTTGCGGCGGCTTACAGCCAGGAGCGCAATGAGCAATGGACAGATGTGTGGCCAGCTGTGAAGAACACGGTCTGGCACGGAGACAATGTCCTAGTGCACTGCATCAAAGGGAGGCACCGTGGTGCCTATCTAGGCACCCTCTGCCGAGCCTTGCTGGAAGGTGAGTCCATTGAGGAGGCCAACAACTTTGTGGAGAGTCGCCGAGACACAGAGCTGCACAAGGTGATCAAGGACCAAGGCATGAAGAAGTGGCTGTACAAGACCTTCCAGGACACAGCCGTGGGGACACAGCATCCTGAACCCCAGGGGTATGCAGCCACAGAGCGTTCCAGCACACATGTCACGGTCGAGGATGGCATCACCTTGTGCCAGCACAAGCAAGCTGACGGGAAGGCGAAGCGCCTGGTGAACCCGTACATGTCCACGGACATCTATGAGGCCCTGGCCTGGGAGCGTCCCTGGTGTGACCAGTGCCTCCGACGAGCACCGGCATCATGGTGGCCACCGGCCTGATCGACCAAGCCGAATTTTTGGCCATTGCGCTGATTTAGCTGCATAGGCCCGTTCCGGCCATGGAGAGCCGAATTCATCAGCTCGGGGCTTGGATAAGAGCTTAAATCCAGCCTGCATGACTGCCCCCAGCAGTGACATCGAGTGCGTTTGAAAAATAAGTGCTGCTAGGTTACAGTGAGGGGTCCACTGTGGTAACCGCACTTTTCATGAGCGACTCGTTTCTTTTTCATTTATTTTTGTACTGGTATGTCGGACAAGCAGGAGGGGGACTCCAGCGGAACACTTGACACCATCAGGGGATTCCATGAAGGTGAGTTCATGTGATGCCTATGCTGTCATTTCAAATCATTGCATGTTTTGTATTTTAGTTTTTGCCGAAACAGTGTCCCATCTGTCATGTCAGGCCGTTCGAGCACACTGCACGGGGGAGACCCGAGGCGCAGTTTTCAGTCAAAGGGAGGGATCCCTGGGCCTTAGCTAGAGGGGTGTCCTCAAGATCAGGCCATGGAGACTGATAAAGTCCCCCTGGAAAAGGGTTCCCCCGAAGAAGTCCTTAGGAAGTTGGGTGACAACTTCTTATTGGATGATGGGGTAGTGGAGGCCCTTCTCCGTTTGGGAGTGGAGAGCTTGCAAGAGTTTCGGTTCCTTTGGGCCTCAGAACAGGCCATCGAAACATGGGTAGCCAAGTTAGGCCTGGGAGACAAGGCCCTGCTGATGACAGCAAGAGTCCGCAGAGCATGGGCCGCAGTGGGGCTTTACTACCGCCAGGTGGAACAGGATCGGTCCAAAGTCGCACTGTCGGACCT